TTTGGCCACTGAATTTGGTCACATCTCCACAGTATCCCAGCAGCCCGACATTACATTACTTCTGAATGAGGATATACATGGAGGAAATACATGGGAGGGAGCAGATAGGCTGGAGGCAACTGCAAAAAGCTAACTTTAGTAGAATATAAGACAACTGAACACTCTAAAGAGACACTTCTGGAGGGCGTAACAGAGATTTGAAGCAAGAATGAACCATTTGCACAAAGACAGGAGTAATGCAAAAAAAAAAAAGAAGCTATTTGACCCCTGGGATCTGAGAACGGAGAACCCCGGCGTTTGCGTGTGACAAGTGGTTAAAGGAACCACTGGTGGAGAAAAAGCTGAAGAAGATGCAACGAGAACCTGAACCTGAACCCGCCAAAGCAGCCCAAAACCGCTCTGGAACACTGTTTTTCTGGTGGAGAGAGTCAAGGAATGGTTCCCTGACTCTGAGGGACACCTCTCATCTTCCCCCTAACAGTAGTGGGGGGGGGTGGGGGGGGGGGGGGTGTATGCATGCACGGGGGGGGGACTACTCACAGCCTCTCGGCTCCTCTGGGGATGTTCCTGGGCACGGCGTGGATCCCCAGGCCGTGGCAGTCCACCGTGTTCCCCAGGCAGCTGCAGAGCGGGGGGCACGCTCCCGCGCCCCCCCGGCCCCCCAGGACCAGCAGGAAGCCCCACAGCAGCGCCGTCCGCCGCCCTGGGACCACCGTCATCGTCCCGCCAACACCCCCACGTCCTCCGACAGGCATCCAGGTGTCCAGCAGAGAGGTCCAGAACACTGCAGACACCAGCTGAAAGATGCCTGCTTTCTGATAATTGAGAAGTGGAGGGGGGGTTGGAGGGGGTGTCTTGGTAACCAGTTCTACCTTCTTTTACAAGTGGACAAAAAACAGCAAGAGGATGGAGGTGAAGTTCAGATGGAGAGTTGAACAACTGCCACTTGATCCCAGACCGGCCTCTCTCCAGACTGGAGATGAAGAGAGAGGGAAAAAAAGACAAGCACGTCCTCGTCTTCTGTCCCGGCCCCCCCCTGGCTTTAAAGATCCCCGAATTTGTCTCCTCTTTTTCTTCTTCTCCAACTCTCCCCGAGCTCTCTCTGCGCCTTCCCCTCGTGCGGCGTACAGTGTGCCTCTCCTCTCCTCCCCTCCACTTTTCATTGAGTCATTGTGCCCCCCGAACAGTGAGCCACTAGAAAAAGAGGAGATGGGAGGGGAGTGTGTGTGTGTGTGTGTGTGTGTGTGTGTGTGTGTGTGTGTGTGTG